GAGACCTATCTATAAACAAAATTTCAGATTTAAATTGTGTCATTGGCATTTTATCGAAACACCTGTCAACAAGCCAAAAAGCAAGTAAAACGATGATAACTCGGCAACAACGGCACGAGGGCACAAATCCTTTTGAGGTTTTTCATACCTCATTGGGATCTACTTACTACCAAAAGATGGGATCTAAACTGCTTGAACACCTAAATATGTTCCCTCGTTAGCTAGATCACGTTTACGTCACATTGAAACCATCAATAATTTAATAATAAAGATTATTCTGAATGATTTTAGTTCATTAAAATATCTCCGATGAAGTTGTGGATGGCGAGACCGAAGCCTTCCTTCTGATTACACTACTAGTTGAAGTTCTAGCCACATAGAATGCCCATGGATATACACCGATAATGGATAAGTGACATTATTTTACTATAAATCAGCTGTAAACATCACTGAAAATGTTTATTTAAAGCAACATAAATAAAAATTATTTCATATTCCGATTTCTTTTACAACAGTAGTTAAGAGCAATAACTACTTGGTTAATATAAACATCCATGTTTCGCGAAGTGTGCTTAGTTGAAGCAGGCAGAGCAAAAGATTTCGAGAGTACACACTTTAAATGTTTATCTTCAAGAAATGGAGGTGTGCATTACTTCAATGATAAAAAAAGAACTAACAATCATGTCATATAAAACTTGCATGTGTCTAACAGCGTCATCTATCGATCGAAAATATAATGCTCGAATATAACAAGTGAGAAGGCTCAGCAAATTGCATAACACATAGAAAAAATATGGCGACTACCTTCTTTTTCATGCCATTGTTTGACTCATATGCTATCGGCTTAGTTATTGTGTAAGAAAAGGTAGAGACGAGTGTGTTTATATTCGCATTATTCTGAAAGGAATTTATTTTTCCGACGTTGAAATTCACTGGAGTATTTTTTTGATTCAAGATGTTTGCTGGTTCTACAAAACCGTCTCAATCGACACCAACACCTACAACTTTTAACGAACGTCTAAATGAGCAGCTGATAAACTGCTTGAATGTTCAAACGAATGTGATACAAAATTTGGCACAATATTCACAACACATTTCGTTACAATTATTTGAAATTAAGGTATTTTTTTTTGTTCGACGATCATTTGCATATTAATCAAGGTTGTGCTTTGTATTTATTTAGAATGTTGTCGAAATGCTTTCAAACCGAGTTTTAGCTCTTCAACAGCAACAACAACAACCTCATTTTGCACCGAATCACTATGCAGCACCTTACTATCCGAATTACATGCCACATCCACCACCAACTTCTCATCACCCTCCTGCTTCTACTCAAATGCCGCCAAATATTCCGCCACAGCCAACGATGCCAGTGCGCATGCCAAATGTGAGTGCAGCAATAGCAAGCTCGCATCCACCATTTTTTAATCCAACTAACACTGCAAATCCACCGCCAACAATACCATCAGCTGCTCCATCATTTCGATTCGGAGTCACAGGAACAGTACCAGCATCATCGACACAATCAACAATAACAAATAGCCTACCAACAACAGCAACTACAACGCCGACAAAATCTATTTTCTCTATTCCACAGCAATTTTCTGCTCCTGATCTTAACACCAAACAACCATCAGCATTGCCAGTAACGACAGCAACAAATACTGCTGTAAAAGATGCTAAACCGACAAACAACAGTAAGACATACATCGATTTTTACAATTATTCGAGCATTAGCTAAACACGTTTCGCTTCCTATTTTTTAGCTCCATTTTCATTTGGTGGCACCAGTAGTCTTGGATCGATTTTTGGCACTGCAAGTTTTCCTTCTACTGTTCCAGTTAATTCAGCAGCTAAACAAGAAACGAACGCTGATGATGATGGCGAAGGCGGTGGCGAAGATGATTCCTACGAACCTGACATTTCTTTCAAACCGATTATTACCCTCTCGGCTGTTGAAGTTAAAACAGGAGAAGAAGATGAAAACGTTTTATACTGTGAACGTGCGAAGCTTTATCGATTCGATGCAGCAACCAACCAAATGAAGGAACGTGGCATTGGCGAAATAAAGATCTTACAACATAAGACAAAAAACATCTGCCGAATTTTGATGCGTCGCGAACAAGTTTTGAAAATATGCGCTAACCATCAAATATCATCCCAAATGGAACTCAAACCACATCAAGGTTCAGCGAATGCTTTTCTCTGGTCGGCTACCGATTTTGCCGATGGTGAAGCTAAGCATGAAACATTATGTGTAAAATTCAAAACCGATGAACAAGCAAAGAAGTTTGCAAAAGTATTCAATGAAGCGAAAGAAATGCATGGTAAAAAACCAGGAGATTTACCAGCCGTTGGAAAAATCTCCTTGAATGACGATGGTAAGAGAAAATCTTTTCTTAGTTTGCATTTCTATTGTTCTTTCTTCATATTTAGATGTGATTTCTATTGGTGAAGTAAAACCATCGGCAGAACAAATCGATCGTGCTAAGAAACTCCAATTGCCATCCACATTCTATTTGTATGAAAACAAAGAACCATGTAAAGGTTGTCCAGGTTGCAAAGAAGATACACCACCAAGTACGGCTAGCGAGAGTATGTTGTCTACTCCTTCATTGTCAGAGTTATAGATTGAGACATATTTATTTTGTTTCAGATAAAGCTGCAGCAAATACGGCTAAAACTGAAACGAAATCTTCTGGTAAACTTTGTTTTCTCGAATGCAATCAAATCTTTACATTTGCTCGCTTTCTTTAGCTCCACAAACACCATCGACAGCACCAGTAACGAAGACGCCGTTGAGTTCAAGTGAAAATATTAAATCTTTATTTGGAAATGCTGACAAAACTCAACCGCAAATTCAAAAACAAACATCAACTACAAAAGATGATAAAACATCTGCTGAAGCTTCTACTCCAACTTCAAATGCCACATCACAATATGATAATAAGCCATCTATTTTTGAAAATTTCAATGGTACTTCTACTTCATCAGTTTTTGGAAGTTCTACTCCAACAAACAATACCAGCAGTTCCATTTTTGGCGGCGCTCCATCACTTAAACCAGCGAACAATGGTTTTTCGTTTCCTGGCTTCGGCGGTGCTTCTTCAGGAACACCATCTAGTGGATTTCAATTCTCTACACCAGCCGCAACAAATAACACAGCAGACACAAAACCAACATTTTCATTTGGATCCGCTGCTGCCTCTTCGAATGCAAATAGTAACTCATCGTTTTCATTTGGATCAGCAGCTGCTGACAAACCATTATTCGGAAATACACCGAAATGCAGCTTCGCTGACTTAGCTAAACAACCAGTGACAAAAGATGATAAATCAACAACTAATGGTTCTGAACGAGGTGAGAAAATAACAGCAGCTTTTCATTACAATAACTCTATGTTTTCTTCAGTTTTCGCTGGCCAAGGCACGCTTATTTTCGGTACCAGCTCAGTCAATAATACCAAAACAACAAACAACAATGACGAAGATGATGGTGAAGGTGGCGGCGAAGATGATTCCTATGAACCCAATGTATCTTTCAAACCAATTGTTACTCTGTCCGCTGTTGAAGTTAAAACAGGAGAAGAAGATGAGAATGTCTTATTTTGCGAACGTGGCAAACTTTATCGTTTCGATGCCGAAAGCAATCAAATGAAGGAACGTGGTATTGGTGAAATGAAAATCTTACAACACAAAACAACGAAAGTGTGCCGAATCTTAATGCGTCGCGAACAAGTTTTGAAACTATGTGCCAACCATCAGATTTCATCCCACATGGAATTGAAACCACATCAAGGATCTGAGAACGCCTACGTTTGGTCTTGTATGGATTTTGCCGAGGGCGAAGCTAGACATGAAACATTATGTGTAAAATTTAAATCTAATGAAGTAGCTAAACGATTTGTTAAACAATTCAATGATGCCAAAGAAGGAACTGCTAATGCTCAGCAATAAACACCAACCAAGACAAAATTGAATCAAACATGTTCTGTTACTCTTATTCTAAATTGATATTTCCTATGTATGTGTGTGTGTGTCTGCGTATGTACCACTTTTTTTCTATTATTGACCATTTCTTTTTTTTTTCTCTGTTCTGAATTCTCTATCTTCTTTTTTCTCCTTGTGCTTGTGTGTGTGTGTGTGTGCGTATGTGTCGGATATTCTTGTTAAGTTGGAAAAGACTGTTGAAAAAAAAGATGGTAACATTTAATAAAGACACGATTATAACGAGGAATATTCATTTATAGAAACAACGATGTGTGTACTATACAAATGAGTCCCAAAGTGACGAATAATATTTATCTATTGATAAATTAGATCGATAGGATTTAAAATTAATGATGCAAGGTTTTTGTCTTCGATGATTTCCGGAAAGAGAATGATTTGTTGTCTTTGTTTATCTAGCATTAGTATCTTGACTGTATTTCTTCTTCGCCACATCTCATAAGTGTGACAACATCAAAATCGAACAGTTATCACATAGAATATCCCATCTAGATATATGCAGGGTTCTTGTCGTGTATAAAAATCTGATTGGCATCTAAGGAATTTTTCTTTCTTCTTGTTTGTTATACATACGGCAAGAGGAAGTCTCTTATCAATATAGCCATAAGAAAAAACAGTCTGTTGTTTCTCACATGCATCTCGTCTTCTTTTTCCTTTCCTTTCATGGACATGCCTTTATACATGTACAGCTGCTGAATAATCATGGCTGAGATGTTACTGTAAGCACAACAACAATAACAACAATAATAATAATAAGAATAACAACAACAACATCGACAACGGCGACGAGAGAGAGGAAAAGAACCTTTGGTTCTGTTTTCTAACTGTTATCATTGGCATAATGCAAGAAACAGAGGGCATACAGGAGAGAATCTCGCCCTTACGAAAAAAGCCTTGAAATAATGGTCTTTCTGCAAAATTGATGACATTAATGAATATAATCGATTCTTAATAATTCGTTACCTAGAGAGTATTCCATATTTTTACGAGATCGTCTGGCATATCCGTGTGCATGCTGTGTTAAATCATAGACAGAAAGGCACTTGTTGTATGATTTTCGATGGACAATTTGTCGTTCAACAGCAGATGCTTAATGATGATCTCTACAGGAAATAGGAAAGGACAAATCGGGATGAAACAAAAAGAATATTTTTGTCTTTTGCTTGTTCTTTGTAGCTGATGACGTAAAAGGCAGAAAAAAAGAGAAGGGATGAGAAGAAAGAAAAGTATAGATTATCACAAAAAATATCAAGCAAGACGGTTTCGATGCATCTATTACTGGCACTTATACGTATATATTTGTTCCTCGTTTGCTCGTTTTTCTTCTTTTTCTCTCTGTGTTCGTAGGAGAAGGAAAACCACAGCATCATTATTTATTTCTATCATAGCTATCGTTACCATCAGCATCATTTCTTCTGATATGTTTATTGAGAATTTACTAGATATGTTCGTCGTAGCTATATTTCTCTCTCGCTTTGTACATCTTAGCCTGCTTACTTCGACAATCGAAGTTCGGCAGCTGCGACAGGTTAGAAACTTGTTGTTTTCCTTCTCTCTTGCTAATGTTGGAATCGATGATCCTACTTCTGTTGATCAGCCGATGAAATTGGACAAGAAGGAGATTTATGTCGACACTTCGACTACAAGAAAACCTTTTGTCAGTGTCAATAGGAAGGATTGGCATATCCAAACCGCATAAAGAGATAAATATTTTCCTCGGCATTCTTTTTTTTTCTAGATCATCCTCCTAAGCGATATTTCATCACTTTCGTCGTTATCGTCGCATCCAAGAGAGAAGAATAGAAGCGCGACGAACTGAAGATTCCCCTCCTGCTCAGGTTAGTTGTTCTATACATATTATTTCTAGTCTGTTTATTTTCTCTAAAAGAAGAGAACATCGGCTACATCGTTTTTTTGTTTTGCATGTTTTCCTAAGATAAATAAATCAAGTTGTTATTTTTAGTACTTGACTTGTCATTGTTCAATATTGAATATCAGTCGTGATGCATCTTAACTGGATATTCATTAGTTGTTTGCTTGTGTTATTGTCTGTTGGCTTGACAACAAGAACAGTCGATGCTAGCAAGAAAACAAAGGAGGAGAATGAAGAAGAATCAAGCTCAACCGATTCGGACTCGGATTCAGATGATTCAGACGACGATGATGATAACAAAAAAGGTAAGACAATGTTGTTCGATTGATATTCTCATACTTTGACGATACGAAAACTAAAAACCAGGAGAAAGATCGTATAAAATGAACTGGTTTTCTTCATTAAATGCTTTTTTTTCTTTCGTTGTTTATTCTCAATGTAACCGTGTGATTGTTCTTTCTCTGTTTTGCCTGCTGATATTTCAGTAGTGTTTGTTCCACGTGAGAAAGCTTCAATTTTTCTCTCCTACAACGAATGCGTACGACGAATGAACTGTGGTCCATCACGCAAGGAGGAATGCAACGAAGAATGTGCTGTTGGTAAGTAGAGAAACACGAGCATTTCGTTGACTTTCAATCAGAAACAAGTGTCATTTCTTTGTTTATTTAGGCAATACGGAAGAAGAAATGGAAGAATATACGGAAATCTTCGAACATATTGAGGAGTATCGATCAAAACCGAAAACTTCACCGTCGAAAAAAGGAAATAAGAAGAAAGAAACAGAAGATGAAGGCGAAACGTCGGATTCAGAGAGCGATAGTGACGATAGCGATGGTAGTTCAACCGAATCGAATGCCGAAAGTGATGCTAGTAGCGAAGAAGAAGATGAACCACCAGCCAAAACGAAAAAATCATCGTCAACAACAACAACAACTACTTCTAAGCAATCAACCAAAAAGAAATAAATCTCGATGAAACAGCCCGCGTGAGAATGAAACCCTCTGATCTTTCTCCGGTTTTTTTCCGCTCTCCACTTGTTCATTTATTGTTAGATTAGAGCATATTTGTATTTCTTCTTCACTTGTCGAGTTGCCAACGTCACAGTCATCACTTCTATTTCTCCCTCTTGATGTGCTGTCTTTCATTATTGTATGTTGGTTTTTAAACGTTTATCTCTTTCACTAATGCCAGCTTCATACGATCATTCTCTCAACTCACTGAATTGGACACAAAATGTCTTTGAAAATATATTCAAACTTATACATACATCGATTTCTTTAATTCTTCGACTTATCAATTTTAGCTGTCTTCATCTCACGTGATCGTGCTTCCATCTTTTTATCCTACAACGAATGTATGAGGAGGATGAACTGTGGTCCAACCAGACGCGAAGAATGCAGCGAAGAATGCGCAGGCGGTAAGACAATTTTCTAATTATCTTCAACATATCGAATTTCATTCGATGTTTTCTTTGACTTGTCCAGGCAATACGGAAGAAGAAACCGAAGAATATGCTGAAATCTTCGAAAGTCTAGAAGATTATCGTGATGATGTCAAGAAAGGTCATCGACCCAGACGTAAGAATAATGTTTCTAGTTCTGACTCGGATTCTGACAGTGACTCTGACTCGGATTCGGATACAGAATCAACTACCACTAGTGATTCTGATTCCGAAAGCGATTCCGAGAGTGATACCGATTCGGATACCGATTCGACTTCCGATAGTGACGACGAAGAGGAAAGCGACAGCAAGGAAGAACAAGAAGAAGCCAAAGAATCGAAAAAGAAAGGTAAACATGTCCAATCTAGCAAAAATTCGAATCAAAAAGGTGGTAAATCAAAACGCCAAAATTAAATTCTGATCATAATTTGTTCTGAAATCCCACCTTTTCTCATACGGTTATCAAACAGACTTTAATATGCTCATTGAAGTTTATATTCTCATGTGTTTTCTACACATTTTTTAATTCTTGCACAATGCTTTCGTATCATGAAATCTTCACATAGAAACAAGAACATTTCTATACATTTGTTGTTTTCTGTACGATCTTTTTGCAAATGCAAGCATATTTTCTGTCACACATGCACGCATATGTCTAGCTTTAGTTGCTTATCTTTTCTCTTTCCTTTATTTTTGTGCACAACTTTTATTTTTTGTTTTCATGAGTGATAATATTTCTCTTTTGTTCATTGGTTCTCTCTTCCAATACCTTGAATCTATAAAGTTTTTTTTTTCAAATTCACCCTAAACAGTAGCAGGTACGAAAATTCTAAAGGACGCATAATTCCTTTATTTAGATAATAGAAGACGATAAAACACATGAAAAAAGTGAGAAAAAAAGAAAAATTCAGTTTATCCTTCTTCATCGAATTGTTCTTCGCCTGGAATATCTAAAATATCAAGACACACAATACGTATTATACATCTGATAAACAAAGATTCTATCACTAACCATCATTGCCTTGTTGATTTTCTTCGTCTTCATTTCCATCGGCTCCGTCAGTACCGTCTGGATTATGTTCATTCTCGGCATTTTCACCAACTATTTAAAAAAAAAACAAGCGTTTTATGATTCTATAGAAAACTAGTCTCCTTACCACCATTGCCATGTGCTTTGTGATGACCATCTTGATCTAGAAATATGAATACAAATCGGATGTGCGGTCATTTTTAATCTATGGAAAGAGATTTAGACAAATAAGTACCTTGTGATCGACTTGTTGCCGGCCGTTCGTCGTCTAAATCATAAGGCTCTTCTTGTTGTGTCGCAGTAACATTACGTGCAATCCATCTGTATTGTACTTGTGGTGGTGCTTCGGAATCTTCTTCATCGGCCTAGAATTCATTGAATACCACAGGATATGTCTCGCTCTTTTTCAATCAAAATACTGACTGTGGTTGTGATATGATATTCTCCATTTTGTTGATAACCATTTTTGAAAACAAATCTACCTTTTCCTTTCGGCTACAAATAACGAATGAATAGGATATTTATCTCTAAAGATATCTCTTACATAGTTGTCGTGGAATTTTCCTACATATCGATAATTGTTGAAGAGAAGTTGGCCAGGGCCTTGTCGTTTGCCCTCTCGCCACGTTCCGGTATATTGTGCTTCTACAAAAAAAACTCCAATTACCTCTATAATATTCTGAAAATCACACATACTCGTTGCGGCATAGGTATACATTCCTTTGCCATGTCTTTGATGATTCTTCCATTCACCTTCGTACGTATCATTGTTTGGATACGTATATATTCCATGACCTTCACGAATATTTTCATTCCATTCACCGTCATACTTCGATCCATCAGGATAGTAGAAAATGCCTTTGCCGTGCCGTTTGTTCTTCTGATATTCACCTAAGATTTGCAAACCAAATAAAATTCGCAAGGTTAATTCAACACAACTAACCTATGTAACGAGCTGTATTTGTAAATCGATAAGTACCAGTTCCATGCCGTTTTCCATGTTCGTATTGACCTTCGTATGTATCTCCATTAGGCAATGTTGCTTTTCCGAAACCATGACGCTCATTTTGTTCGTTACGATCACCTTCGTACGTCTGCAAAAACAATTGAAAACATGTTTTTCAATACGAAAAGATTTCCATTCAAACTTACTCCTAAGTTATCTCCCTGTTCTTCTTCGCCTAACTCTTCTTCGTCGTCAGACATTTTCTTCGAGTATGTGGATGTATGTCAAAGAAAAAAGTGTGTTTTAATGATGATGTTAGCTACAGTTTCATGCTCAGCCATTAGTATCATAAATTTACTTAGTAACAAATGCGGTTGCCATGCCGACGGTCTGCTCAAATGCATTCGTAAATTCTCGTCAACACGTTTTCATGCATAGAGGCTCTACCATGGAAGTAAAATCACGTAATGAAAGAAAATATATGCAAAACTAGAAGTTCTATGATCGAATAATTATCATCAGATGTCAACGACCGGTCTAGTAATGAAAACCTTTTGCTCTAAACATTGATCTATCGACTTTTTATAGCCAGCGACTATTTTACCTGGTGGCTATAACTACTATAGTCAGCGTACTGTTACTTTGGCACCACCATATATATTTATAATTATTCTTGGTTGTGTTATAATCATCCTTATTATCTTAATTTTCATTCGAGAAATTCTCAAAGTAAATGAAGAATTTCATAACCGATGAATATGTTTTATGTATCATTTTAGTCTCGTGGTGTCCTTCAAAATTGTTGTAATTATAAAGGCAGTGGTATACAATGTCTAGGCTGCCAGGAATGTTGTTTAGCATGTGCTGAAACATGTGACTGTTGTCGTACAACATCTATTGAATCATGTCTCGATGCCTGTTGTCCAAAACGCGGAGTAAGCCTGACTAGAACCGTCCCATTCTTTCATGTGCATTTCTTCTTTTTTATAGTCTATCGAATTTGCTGACATTATTACTTGCGAAGCATGTTGTTCCGGGCAATGTTGTTCCGTAAGTTGCATTTCAGCGTTCATTTTCTCTAAACATCCATTGGACTTGTTTTAGTGTGGTGACACTGTTTGCGTTTGTGCACCTCCAGACGTACGAACAGTGAATTGTTTATGTTGTGCATGCGAATCACAGTATCCTCATACACAGATGGACGACAGATGAATTCTCATGATGTCCAACGAATTGGGAAAACATTTCGTGTATTAAATTGTTTTTCTTCTATATCGTGTTAATATTCCTAAGAAAATTTCATTAAACTTCTTCGATGTTATTTGCTTTTGTCATTCTTTCTGAACGAAATAAATTAGCAAGATCTTTTTTCTATCTTTAGATAAACATTTTATCATGACATCATTCATGGAAGATTATTTTCGAACTGCCTTAAGTAAAGAATTGACTGTGTAAGAAAAGATGAATATATAGAGTGAATTTTTATCGAGAAGATTTCATTTTAGTGCACCGCCTGAACGTGAACATGAAAATTTATCATCGACATCACGCTTATTGGAGAAACAACGGGAAGTAACGGAAGCCGAATCGTTATTATCGAATCAAAAAGAGGTAATTGATTGAGCTAATGCATAAATTCGTTTTCCTTTTATGATTTTCTAGGAGTTTAAACTGAAAATGCAAAGTTTGAAGTTACGTCGAGAAAAACTCAATTCGAAAGAACATGAACTACGTGAAAGTTTGGCCAATTTTGAAAAATATATCAACGTAGGTGACAAATCTTGTTTTGAATAATGATTAACAAAAAAGAAACTCACTTTTTTTAGGAACTGGATTCCAAACGAATGCGTGCACTTAAACGAGCTCATGACGAACGTGATTTAGCATCAGTCAAACAGAGAGATATTCAAAGACTTCAAGCAGAAATCGACGAATTGAAACGTAAACGCGAGGAACTCACGGCTAGAAATGAAAAATATAGCGAACATAATCGATATCTTGAAAAAGTATGCCCGCCGCTTTGTCACGGATCGCGTTTACTGACGATTTATTTCAGACAGTAGAATTAGCGGATGAATTTCAAGAAATTCGGGAATTGATCGATCGTTACACAACTTTACATACGAACAAATACGTAAGTACATCGCAAATGCTATTTCGAAGGTTTTGTTTGGTTTTCTTCAGGCGTTGTTAGAAATTCAAAATCAACGCGAAGAACAATTGGAAGACTTACGTCGAAAACGAGAAGCTTTCATGCAAGTAAGTGACAATGGATATTTTAATTGCTACATACCCGATTCGATGTCCTTAGAAAAAAAATAATGAAATCTTAACTTTAAACAATCGTATCGGTGACTTACAGCATCATCATGAACGAGCAGAAATCGATGCTAGACGAGCTGAGAATGAATGGCATTTTATTCAAACAACCGCAGCTGAAAAAACCTTAGAGCTCGGCAATGTTATTCTGTAAGCATCGATTGAATTCAGCACAGATCTTCATATACGTTTTCTCGCCATTGTTTAGAGCTGCACGTAATTTGTATCAACTTGTTCTTCGTCATCAGAAAGTTGAAAAAGACGAAAGCCATGACTCGGTCGATCCGATCAAACGAGTTAAACAACAATTAGATAAAGTAATGACGACAGAAAGAAAAGATTTTCGAATTTTTGTGTGATTTAATATCCTTTACTTTAGGTCGAGATATTTATTCATGATTTTACAGCGATTACACATGAAATGAAGCGTTATGATCAAGCGAAAGCCCGATTGAGTTAAACATCGAATTTGCATTTATTTTTTTTTTGTACTGATACTTCGTCCCAATAAATCACACTGAATATTTGCTGCAAACCCAACATAAGGATATGAATGTGGCTCATATCCACATCATCTACAATTATCACTTGATGTTTTGTTTAAAAGAGATAACTGTAAATTTCAGTAGCGAGATCCACTTTCATCTAAATTAATGCACATATGTGATACGATATTTCAATTATATTATGTATGTCTCTATGATAAAACGCTCTGGAAGAACTATACAGTTAGAATCAAGATGTAGATTTGAGATGAACGTTATCTACATCCGATTTCTTGCTGTATGGGTATATGTAAATATGTTCTTTCTTGTCAGTTCAATGTCACAACTTTCTATATTAATCCGATACTAACATAGATTTCTTTACATCGTTATTCTTCTGACAAAAAAAGAACTTATCATTCGATGAATAATTGATATGAATCGAACGAGAGAACCTTTCTCACCTGTTATTATGAACATTTTGATCTTTTTTTCTCAATTTTTAGTTATAACTACAGATTGAATACATGTAATGTTTCAAATGATGATGTAATCTTTGGGAACAAAGTAAGACACGCATTAGAGATGGTAAAATTACATAGATAGGAAGAGTAACAATCTTCGATGAACACCATCAAGTAGATACTTATTGTTTCAACATCAATATGCTTATATAACCGACACGATACAAACAAACCAGCATTTTCATTAGTTNTATTTTTCGCCGAAAAACACATAAACTGATAGAGAAATGTTTGCTCTATTCCGGAATCAAAAAATCAAGTCAAACCGACGAGCACAGCCTGAGATATGAAACAGTTTTTACAACGTTTCGAATTGATGATGCAATAACGACCTGTCACTCTATTGATAATGTATTTTTTTACCTTCTCCATACAGAAATTCGGAAGATGCATTGTGATAAAAACTTTTTTTTATAAAGATCAACCGATGAATTTCCGGTTTTTACCGGACCGGTTCCAGCGCTGATATGCATATATCATCGTCAAAACCGCTGGGTGGTGCTAAAAATATTTTCCACCCAGACGGCCTGGGTGAAGTATGATCCTAATAATTTTTCGCTTGGGTGGCCATGTAGCATGGTTCAGGACCACCGTAAATTTACTCTCGTGATATTTTGAGGTATCTGCGATTATTGACTGAGCAAAAAATTTACAAGTACCTAGGTTACTATGCTAAAATGCCTGTAAAACGGTACTTTTTTTACCACGTCACAATAGCTTGTTATAATAGTAAAAAACGTGCAAAGTTGTTTTATATTACAGTTTACGATTGTTTCTCATGATATTACTCAAAATCTGCATTGTATTTGCCAAGATATAGAAATATCCGCGCACCCAATTTTGCTTAAAAATAGACTCGCACTCGAAGCTATGTCGAAGTTTGCGAAAACTGTTTTAGCGTGATTTTCCTCCGTCACACATTCACCTTGACTGTCTTTGTTCAGGAAAACAGTAGCTTTCATGAATACAACTTAACTCCTCTGTTTTACCGCGACTAATCCAATGTCCATTGGAAGGGACATCTCGGCTTTTACGGGTTAAGATCATAAACGATAGTTAAAAGAATGAATCAAAATAAACTATAACCATTGTTTTAAATTATATTCCTTGTGGAATTAAAATCAGTTTGTTTCTACTCACCCCAAATGTGGTTCTTTAAGAAAAAAAATCACCCAATTCCTCGAATAAGCGTTGCCTGAAGACTACCGACAAGAAAATGTTGGAAAGAATAAAAACCAAGTTCCTAACTGAATTCTTATCTTCTTTACCTGTTTCGAGCGTAGTGAAGTCACTTTTTTTGTGAGTGTTTTTCTTATCTTCTCTATTTTTTTCCTGTGAGAGTTTGTTTAAGAACCAACAGATAACAGAGACACTTTTGCTCCCGAAAAGATTCAAGAAGAGAACGACGTCATTCGTTGCCTATATAAAAAAGACGCGAATTTCTTCTTTTTCACAAGAAAATAAAATACTTTGAATTTCAGTTTATTCAATAAAATGGACGCACAAAAATCAAAATCAAGTTCCACGACAAGGAAACATGGTAATCAACCGCGACAACGCATGGTCCAAAACTATCTTTTAGTTTGGGTGGATGCCAACATCGATGAAAAGGACCAAGACTACCAGAACACTTTGAAACACTTACGAAGTGTCGTCAATGATGTTAACATATGTACTCAACCAGACGCCTGCCTTCAATTCCTCAACAGCGTCGGTGACGAAAAGGCTTTCGTCATCACATCGGGATTCTTAGGTCAACACTTGGTTCCCGAGATTCACGTCATTCCACAAGTGAATGCCATCTACATCTTCTGTGCCAACAAATCCAGAAATGAAACCTGGACAAAGAACTGGTCAAAAGTCAAAGGTGTTCACACAAATATCAAAGAAATCTGTGAGGCGCTGACCACGGATGTTAAACAACATAATCAAGACTCCATCGCCATGAGTTTTGTCAACGTAAGAGGAGAGGGTTCCCATGCCAATCTCAATCGACTGGAACCCAGTTTTATGTACACGCAAATATTTAAAAAGATTCTCCTCGACATGGATCACGACAAGCAAGCAATCAAAGACCTGGCCAATTATTGTCGTCAGTGTTTCCAAGGCAACTTCGCAGAGCAAAGTGTTATCGATGAGTTCGAACGTAACTATCGTTCGGAGAAGGCCATTTGGTGGTATACACGCGAGTGTTTTACCTACCAAATGCTCAATCAAGCACTTCGCACTTTGGATGCCGAAATCATTATTAACATGGGGTTTTTCCTCCATGATTTACACAAACAAATAGAACAGCTACACCAAGCACAGGTCAGTAGTTACAGAGGAAAACCTTTCGTAGTCTACCGTGGACAGGGACTATCCAAGACAGATTTTGGCCAGTTAACAAAAACTGTAGGTGGTCTTTTATCTTTCAACAACTTCTTATCCACCAGTATCAAACTACAGAAATCTCTTGAGTACACCTACAGCGCTCTCAGTGATCCCGACAAGGTGGGTGTTCTGTTCGTGATCACCATCGATCCAAATATTGGTACTACTCCATTCGCATCGATTGGAGATTTTAGTTATTTCGAAGACGAAGCAGAGATCCTGTTTTCCATGCACAGCGTGTTTCGAGTCGGTACTCTTCGCCAAGTGGGTGACAAAATTAACCTTTACTATGCGGTGCAACTTCAGTTGACTGCAGATGACGGTCCACAACAGCGTGTGTTAACGGACCGTATTGAAAGTGAAGTTCAAGGTAGTNAAGCTGAGTGGGAGGGTGTAACGATAATGATATCGTTCATCTCTTTCTGTTCTTTATCCTCTCACCTCTATATCATACTATCTCCGGGTCATCTCTCTCTTTCCTCTTCTCTATATAAGCGCGTGTCTTATTGTGAAGAGATACATTCTGGTCATGTAGAGTAGTCAATAAACATCTATACCGTGAGAAGCGGTCAGCTACTCAACCAGTTTGTCATTACAGTAATCAACCGCGACAACGCATGGTTCAAAATTATCTTTTAGTTTGGGTGGATGCCAACATCGATGAAAAGGATCAAGACTGTCAGAACACTTTGACGCACTTACGAAGTGTTGTCAATGATGTCAATATATACACTCAACCAGATGCTTGCCTTCAATTCCTTAAGAGCATTGGTGATGAAAAAGCTTTCGTCATCACATCGGGATCCTTAGGTCAACACTTGGTTCCCGAGATTCACGGCATTACACAAGTGAATGCCATCTACATCTTCTGTGGCAACAAATCCAGAAATGAAACCTGGGCAAAGAACTGGTCAAAAGTCAAAGGTGTTCACACAAATATCAAAGAAATCTGTGCAGCACTGACCACGGGTGTTAAACAACATAATCAAGACTCCATCGCCATGAGTTTTGTCACCGTAAGAGAAGAGGGTTCGAATGCAAATCTCAATCTGCTAGAACCCAGTTTTATGTACACGCAAATATTTAAGAAGATTCTCCTCGACATGGAGCATGACAAACAAGCAATCAAAGACCTGGCCAATTATTGTCGTCAGCGTTTTCAAGGCAACTTCGCAGAGCAAAGTGTTATCGATGAGTTCGAACGTAACTATTGTCCGGAGAAGGCCATTTGGTGGTATACACGCGAGTGTTTTACCTACCAAATGCTCAATCAAGCACTTCGCACTTTGGATGGCGAAGTCATTATTAACATGGGATTTTTTCTACATGACTTACACAAACAAATAGAACAGCTACACCAAGCACAGGTCAGTAATTACAGACGAAAACCCTTCGTAGTCTACCGTGGACAGGGACTATCCAAGACAGATTTTGATCAGTTATCCAAAACTATAGGTGGTCTTTTATCTTTTAACAACTTTTTATCCACCAGTATCAAACAAGAGAAATCTCTTGAGTTCACCTACAACGCTCTCGGTGATCCCGACAAGGTGTGTGTCCTATTCGTGATCACAATCGATCCGAATATTGGTACTACTCCATTCGCATCGATTGGAGATTTTAGTTATTTCGAAGGCGAAGCAGAGATCCTGTTTTCCATGCACAGCGTGTTTCGAGTTGGTACTATTCGACAAGTGGGTGACAAAAGTAAACTTTACCATGAGGTGCAACTTCAGTTGACTGCCGATGACGATCCACAACTGCGTGTGTTAACGGACCGTATTGAAAGTGAAGTTCAAGGTAGTACAGGGTGGGAACGTTTGGGTCATTTATTGCTTAAACTCGGACAGCTGGATAAAGCCGAAGAACTGTACACTGTGTTACTGGAACAAGCGTCTGATAACAATGACAGAGCACATTATTATCATCAACTTGGCTGCTTAAAATATAGTCAAGGTGATTATAAAATGGCCATAGAATACTATGAAAAAGTACTTGAAATCCAAGAAAAAACTCTTCCTTCGAATCACCCTGATTTGGCTACTTCGTACAACAACATCGGTGCGGTGTACATGAGCATGGGAGAGTATTCGAAAGCACTTTCATTCTATGAAAAAACACTTGAAATCTTCCAAAAAACTCTTCCTTCGAATCACCCTTCGCTGGCTACTTCGTACAGCTGCATCGGTTTGGTCTACTACAACATGGGAGAGTACTCGAAAGCACTTTCATTCTATGAAAAAACACTTGAAATCTTCCAAAAAACTCTTCCTTCGAATCACCCTTCGCTGGCTACTTCGTACAACAACATCGGTTTGGTGTACAAGAACATGGGAGAGTATTCGAAAGCACTTTCATTCTATGAAAAAGCACTTGAAATTAGAGAAAAAACTCTTCCTTCGAATCACCCTGATTTGGCTACTTCGTACAACAACATCGGTGGGGTGTACCACAACATGGGAGAGTATTCGAAAGCACTTTCATTCTATGAAAAAGCACTTGGAATTAGAGAAAAAACTCTTCCTTCGAATCACCCTTCGCTGGCTACTTCGTACAACAACATCGGTGGGGTGTACTACAATACTAAGGACTATTCGAAAGCACTTACCTATTTCGAACGCGCTCTGGACATTTGGCAACGTGCATTACCGGCGAATCACCCTAATATAAAAACTGTAAAAGAAAGTATCGAAATTTGTAAAAGAGCAATGAAGAAATAAACGATTACTGCCCCTTTTTTGCTAGAAATAAAAAGTAATGATTAACCCGCGCGCGTATGTACAGAGTAGAACTCTGTAAAGAGATAGTAATGATGACACATCGCGGGGACACACCCATCCAAGAAAGGCAATACACATACATACGGACATTATCATGTTTGACACATTACTCGGTATCAAAAGTGAGGACATACGTGTAATTTGACAGGATTGCTTGTAGCATGCGTA